TTTCTCGACCTTTCATGACCCGTAGAGTACGAAGAAATGGGTATCCCGTTTCCGTCTGCCTGTCTGTCTGCCGTCCCGATTTTTTTTTATGTTTTTGCAGACTGATTCTTCTGTAAGTATTATCTGGCTGTTCGAGTGAGTTGTTGTTGTCACCCCTTGGTGTTTGGTATCCGGGGCGGACCGCCCTTTACGTCGCCCCTGACACACTAAACTAGACTAAATTAGCTAACTGTCTAACTGTCAAACTTTCACATTTTCAGGATGTTCCCCGACTCCGTAAGAATTTAATTCAGCTGTGAACTTTATCAGTGGACGAATATGTCCAATCATTCCATTGCAGCAACAAAATTAAAGAATTACACAGCTGTTTGACATTTTGATATCAAAGCTGCCGCTATAAATAATTGAAATTGTATTTATCTAAGTAAATGTAAATTAAATAATGAGTTCCATTATCGCACTAGTGTTGTCATGCTAGGTTTCCTCACATAATAACATCGTTTTTCTTCATGTATGTATGCATATCTAAATTCGTTTTAAATAAACTCTGAATTTGTAAATAAAAATTTTTACGTTACACGGTTTAACGCATTACTATCGTAATTGTGATTGCAGAATTGTAACGGGAATAACTAGGTATTGTATTAAAATAAAACACTATATTATATTTTATTAAAAAAAAGCCCTTGTTAGGTGACATCGAACTGGGTATTCTTGATTCGGGTATCCTCCCTAGGTAGCTGTTAGAAAACTAAAACATTAAAACAAATATCACCAAGTCTATGAGACTTAATAAATTCTAATATAGCTTTAATAAAAGTGTTTAGAATGGTTATTGGTGCCATTCTAGGATTTTGTGTAGTTGTTTTAAAGTAAACCTAGAAATTATGAAATAAACCCTTTGGTTTTAGGATTTCGTCACATATAAGAACGAACCCTTTTGTGTTTTGCAAATACTTACCAATGTTTCCACTGTGAAAGATAACAGAACATTGTCGACGTCGTAATTATGGACTTATGTCATATCTAAATCAGGCTTTTTTAAGCGTTACCTTTGTATGTTTGAAAAAACGTGCACCATCATGCGATAATATGCATAAATTTGTGTACCAAACACTTCAGATATTGCGTAATTTAGAACAAAGGTTACTTTATGGAAGTTCCTACGTATCAATATTACATTGCTTCCGTTTGATTGAATTGAAATTCAAACAGTAAAATGCTATTCATACATTTGAACTGGACATTTTAGACCTTGATAAATATAGTATACTTCGTAGTCGAAGTGTGCTTACCCTATTTAAAATAATATTGCCTGTAGCAGGTACTTACGTTTGAGTGGAATTTCGAAAATTATGGAAATCGAATGAAACCACCTCCAGAGGTTTTTAATCGAGATGGAATGGAAACGCTATAAAAGTAATACGTTTAGTCACGAAGGAACAGTTCAGTACAGTACAGTTTCTTCCCCTGTAATTCGCAAGTGAACCCGTCCGGAAGGTTTTACGTCTACTGCGACGTGTTATATTGCTAGTGAACGCTTTACACAAATCAGTACCTTTTTGTTTATGCACAATAGTTGTACCATTGTCGTAAAATAACACACTATCAGTCATTAGATTCGTTCGACATGCTAATTTGCACCTTTAGTCATCGTAATTACTGGTAAAAAGCGTAAAACAAAAATAAATTGAACAAAACGTGGTAAAAGTTTGGTGTTTACATTTATGACAGCGTTTTGAGGCATTTCGAGATATGCTATCTTATTATCATCACTTTCGATCAAACGCTCCATATTTTGTTTTATTTATAAAAGTAACGCAAGAGCTAGAAACATTCCGTTCCCAAGACAAAGACACTAAAAAAAAACATCGTGCCCTTTGTGACATCATCAAAGTAGTTAATTAAAATCATCTTACATTCGTAACTTGACTTCGTACTGACGTTGACGTTATTAATTAATGCAGTTTGTACACTTAAAACATGAATTAAAGTTTCTGATGACCAAAAAGTAAATAATAGAACAAAAACGTGAGCTAATTACATTTGATTATAATCGCGAACCTACATATTCAAGTCTTATTACGTACCATATTATTTACATAAATACGTTAATAATGCAGTCAATTAATTCCGTATAAGAAATTATAATGTTCACTAAAAACTAGTAATTTCATTAATATCCGTTTAATCAATCATTCAAATTTTGAATACTGAGATCGACGTCATTGACCATAACGGCTGTAATTGAAACCCCCATTGAAGGACACTTACGTAAGAAAGTCTTCTGGGTTTTGTTAATTCCTTTTTTGTCGTTTTCATATTTCCTTGTAACTTGATTTGGCTTTGTTGATACCATGTCTTTGTTTCACATTGGCTGGTCTGGTCATCATAATAATTAATAACACAACACATATGAGTGTCCTATAAGTGAACAATTCGGATTTCTTATTCCACTGTTGGTTTATCCGACAATAAGACACTCGGTACAACATTTTCTTCAACAAAAAAGCAGTGCGTCATAAGTTCGACATAACAGTTGAAAAGAATGTCGTCATCTTGACACATGCGCATACGTGTTCTTTGCTCCTCGAAACTTACCGACATCGAACGAGTTCTTTTGTAATTATTTAAATTCTTGATTTTGTGTAAAAATAAGCAAATAACTTGTGTGAACTTTCAGATGCTTCAGTATCTAAAAATTGGCAGAAAATCGGCTTCATTATAAAGTACTTTATAAAATATGATTGTGTTATGTAAAAAAAATTAAAAATATAGTTGAAGTATGAAAACGTTTTCAAAATTATAAGAAGAAAATTTTGAAAATTTAGAACAATTTTGTGTTTTTACAATATTTAGTTAAAATTGTGGAAATAGGACTGAATTACATAAGAATTAAAAGAAAAAATTACAGAATCACACTTTGATTTTTTGACATGTGTTATTAGTTATACGAAAAATTTGGAAAAATAGTGTTCAAAATAAAAATTTTTATATGCGTTCGAAATGAAACTAATCTGATTTTTCTTCTGATTCAGAATCTGCTTCTAGATTTTTTCTAACATATATAGTTTGTAAAAATATTTATAATCAGATAATCATACAAAATAAGGTACCAGGTGATTTGTTAATTTCTGATGTAGTTTTCGTTGTCCATTGCGTCACCAAATTACGTAGGTCGCCTCTTAGAACATACAGTTTGTCTTGTAACAATTACGCCTGATAACATAATCTAAACTATGGTATGTTCTCATTTTTGCAGTTCAAGTTACGACCTACTTTTCGGTCGAATTTGTTTTGTCAACAAATTCTTCGGTGACTTGATCAGAAATTAAATAAATCACACGCTATTTACACGAAATAAATCATTTTCATCTTCACAAGGATATAAAATTCATTTGGTCAGTAATTATGATAAACGTTATAAACTAAACTGAAATTTCATGCATAATTCATTCGAAAATCAAAAATCCACCACCTGTTGAATTCACTTAAAAAAAATAACAGTGGCACTACAAAGTTTAAGGGTTTCTTGTCACGGATTGTCAATTTGAGGTTTAAAAACTAACAATGAAGAATGAAATGAAGTATAACTTTACTATATTTATACTAAAATAAATCACTAAAACTGACACAACGTTGCCAGTTGTATTTTCGAAAAATTCACTCTTCGTATAGTCTTTGCCATTTCTATTGAAACACCACTTGTTGATCGTAAATTTGGCAACGTTCATATTCAGACAATTTTCTAACTAAAAGCCGTTGTCCATCAACTAAAAACTGTTAGCAATTGCTAAATTTTAGGCAAACAGGTGGTGTTTCAGTAGAAATGGCAAAGACTATATGTACGGTGTAATACTGATAAAACAGTATTGTGTTCCCAGAATTTCGGAAAAAATAGATATAACGTTTCTGAGTTAATCTATAAAATTAATTGTGTACAAATAATAAAAAAAAAAATATGTGTTACTAAAGGATAAATAATTTTGTATCTCGAAGCACATTTTTCAACATTCATACAATAAATTGTTGCGCTGACGTCATTCTTCTTCACCTTTCTAAAAGAGATGAATAGATAATTTTATCTATTGTTCTCTAATCAGTGTACGGTTTTGTAGTTTCTAAGTTAAACAGATTTTTTTAAATGTTGAAATACTTGTAGAATTTTATAACAATCCATCAAGTACTTTCGGTGATATCTAAGTCTAATAAAATCGCCAGCAGACAACAAATAGACGGAAACGGGAGTTCTACTTTTTTGTATTCTAGAAATCAAGGCAGACCGAGAAACCATGAAATTAGCTATTCATCAATAGCCCCAATAATGATACTTTCGAGCTTATGCTCAGAGAGTAACAAATTTGTTATTATTTTTCTTAACATCTGTATCCGTATAAAGCACGTTTACGATATTTTATAGCAGCTTTTTCGCCGTGTATGTTTGTAAATAAACTACATATTTGTAAATCTTCCTTTTCTACTCGCTTATTATAGTGCATTCGCTACTACGTTTATACTCCAATTTTTTGCATCATCTTAGTAGTGTCCCTGTAGGGACACTACATCTTAGTAACTAACACCGCCCTCTTCCCAATCTTTCCCCATTTTACGGTACTTGCATCTTGCAAAACCATCCCAACGGTACCTCCTTCATCAATTTGGCGACAAAACAGTTACCATCATTATCCATCATTACAGAAACCATGTCGGAACAGGAAACTCGCCAGCAACAATACTTTTAAAACGGTCTTCGGCCTAAGAAACGCACTGCTGCGCTCACTAATACAACATTATCAACGGAATCAAGGTTACTCGTTATAATCCATCCAACACAAGATTTGTTTACACCGACAATTATTATAACTATTATTACCGCAGTATTTCCTTCTCCGCTAATAACATAATCACGTTCCAAGTTGTTCCAATTTGTAACGGTGGTCCACTTCTTTGTCCAACGCTACCGCCCCATTGTCACCATTGAATTGGTTCTTTTGTTGCAGAGATTTGAGGCCCCAAAGCGTCGAAAAGAGCCAGGAAAGGTGCAGACTACGACTGTATATGATGTATGCTTGGGGGGTTCCCTTCATCATTGCCGCAACGGCGGCCATTTTGGATTCAGTACCGGATAGCTCTGATTTCCTGAGGCCGAAATTTGGAGTCAACACCTGCTGGTTCTATGGTATGCCATAATAATAAAGCCCATTACATATACGAAAATTATATATACTAAAAGATGATTATAATCCTTGTCGCACCGCGTGAGTTAAAAAAAGTACGAGAGGCCGTTGACGTCCCTCCTTTGACTTTCGTGTGATAAAATGCAGCTGCCAGTTTTATTATGTTATGTGAAATGGTCAGTCAATTCACGGATTTGCCCTGGTCATGGGTCAATTTCGGCAAAAATATTTACCCAAATCAGATCGGTCAAGGTTCGCTATTGATGTCGCCGCTCGTAAATTTAAAATTCATCAAAATAGTGCGTAGTCTTCTGATAAAGAGTTGCCATGCCGTCTACCACTGGCGATTATGCAAAACAAATATGTTTTTCTTTTATCAGAATAGCGTCACATGTGAGATAAAAGCGGTGTAAATAAGTAAATTTAGATTTATCAGTCGTGTTGCGAAACACCCTGATGCGAAAATGTCACGCGAATTTTGAAAAGTTAGGATTGTTTATGCAGATCGCGGTTTATGCAAAACCCGTGTTGTTTTCACTCGTAAATTTTGGTTTCATAAACATTATTCTTAATGGGTGAGTAAAAAGATGGGATTTTACGACGCCGTCAATCAAAATTATGGCACGTAAATATTTTCGCAAGTTTGGAAAAATGAGGCGATTTTTTTTTTTTGATTTCATGAATGTATTGTTTCTGCTATCGCATGATTTTTATAATAATTCGCATAGTTATTGGAACGCATAAAACGGGAAGTAATGATGTGTGTGATTAACTGACTAACAACTTATTGGATGATAAATAGAGAATATCGTAATGCGCTATATGGAAACTATAAAATTTATGTTTATAGGTGGCAAAGTTTAATTGCTATTGCGAAACTGTTAATGGATTTTCTGTCTTCCAATTGCTCGAATGAAGTGCTATTGCGGAATGAATTTAAACAAGGACTTTTATTAAACTAAAGTGATTTTTATTGTGCAACGGGAAATACTGTGAAGTAAAAGAAACATTTAAAATACTAATTAGAAAGTTTTCTTATATTCAATAAAATCCCAAAAAATTATATGCGAAAAGAATCCAAAAATTTCTCATTTCAGTGTCTCGATAGCGCCAAAAGGACTACTTTTTTCAAAGCACAAACTTGAAATTTTTAGGCTTCAGTGAAAGAGTGTTAATAATTTTAATAAAATAAATGTTATGTATATTGTGGTCTGGGATGGTTACAACAATCTATACTTATATAATAAAGCTGAAGCTGTTGTTTATTTGAACACGCTAATCTCAGAAACTACTGGTTCAAATTCAAAAAATCTTTTTGTGTTGGATAGTCCATGTATCATATCTACATATAGGCTATATAAAATCACGCTACGATCATTAGGAGCGAAGTAGCAATGAAAAATTCGGAAAAACGGGAAAATTATTCCTCCTTTGACAGCTTCCGTTGCTTATGCTGCTTAAACGGTTAAAGTTACGTAAAAATCATGTATGACGAAATTGTTCCCCTCTAAAAGTTCTAAAGAAAAGTCCGCGACAGCATATGTCTATCTTTTAAGGTCGAGTCAGTATAACCTTTTTTATGGTAATGAAATTTGTTCTAAAATAATAATGCATTATGTATAAAATTCTCGCGTCACAATGTTTGTAACCGAACTTCTCCGAAATGGGTAAACCGATTTGTATGAAATTTTTTGTGTCTATTCGGTAGGTCTGACAATAGGTTGTAAACTATTTTTTAAACCCCTAAGTGATAAGGGTGGCCCACCCTAAAAAATTTTTGTCTATTTTTTGGACAAAATTTTTTATTTTTATTTTTTTAAGAATTGGCATCAAAAAATACACATAACCCTAAATTTTCACCTTTCTACCACCAACCCCCATTTTTTAATCGTCTATATAATAAAAATCAATTGCTGTTCCTGTTAGTCTCGCTAAGACTCAAAAACGGCTTGACCGATTTGAAGAATTTTTTATATTACGGAGATGGTTTATAAATAAAAAAAAATAAGGAAAACTTAAAAGAACAGTTAAGAAATAAAAAAATTCTAAAAATTTTGTATGGGAATCGCCACTTCGAATTAATTTCAATAGTTGGCGTTTCTGACGGTCCTGTCGTCTTACTGACGTGTCATACAAAACTAATTAAAGTATATTGCATTTCAAATCGTTCTTTGTTTTTCGTAAAAAAAACGTCGTTTATTTTAAGAAAAGTCTTGGTTAAAGTGAATTTAATTACACATTGCGAAAGTTTGTTATTAATTTTGATCTGCCATTCTATTTACCTATATTCACTTTGTTGGTTTCGACAAAACCTCAAACTTTACCCTTATTCGAGGATTTAATTTGAAGTTTTCAATATTTTAAAATTCTCAAGACAAAATTTACAGATTTGATTGACTGTGAAAATAATTCTGTGTCGTTTTATGAAGTTCATTAAAATGCCGAGAAGACGACAACCTCACATAGGTCCACGAAGTCAATCAAATGTGCGACGAACTACCTCAGGTGCAAACCGCAATGATTTATTTCATGGGTAATTCGGATAAGGAAGTTGATCAGCGTTGTGCTCATAATCAACATAATCAAATATTGAAGCGAGACATTGAGTGGTATGAATAAAACTGAGTAGATACTCATATTCGAAGTACGAAGTACCTACTTCATTATTACTCTTATATACCTGAGCATCTACTCTATGTACTGAGTACCTACTCGGAAACATTGTATCTCCCCGAACACAAACTGAACATCTACGCGTTTTGTGAGCATTTAATCTAGAAATGAGCATCGGCGTGGCAAATAACTGAGCTGTCTGTAAAGTAGCTTAGAAAACCAGTAGGATCATTGTAAGAGTGAATTTTAACTAAACATGGTGATTTTCATGAATGTGGAACGTCGTCAAAAGGTGCATTCAGTTTGAAAAACACATTAGGAGCAGGAATATCGAAAACTTTTCATGTAATTAACTTTTATTTATTCATAAATTGTGCAGTGCGTTTTTTCTAACACTGGCCATAGAGATTCCCATCTCAAGGTGTCTACCCCATACTAACTTATATTTTGGTGACTCGATTTTTGCCTTGATGGTTGAACACTGTCACTGTTGTCTTTTTTTGTTGTATCGAGATGCTACTTGAGCATCAACTGTTACCTACTGAAGTATTAGTATCATCTAGAAAAACTAGAAATATTTTGATTTGATATTCGAGTAGATACTTCGTATTTCGAGTATGAGCATCTACTGAGTTTTATTTATATCAACCATTGTCAAAAAATTGATCGAACGTTGTTTCGACAGAACTTCCTTCGCACCAAAAGTATAATGAAACATATTCAGCATTTTCGAGTTGAGTCTTTTCTTCACACAATTTTGTGATGACCTAATCAACATTTACTATCAACACGTTGATATACCACCTTGGATTGGTGCAGTGTAATACTAAAAATAACTGTATTGTAGTCCCAAAATTATCTGCGAAAATCGAGTGAGCCATTCCATCAATTTTTTGGGGGGAATAAATAAATATTCTTAACAATTTACCATGCTTACAATAACTTTAAAACGTCTGCAAGATCTCAAAGTATTCATTTTTGCAACTCTTGAGTTATTCACTAAAATAAATTGACTGATCCATATATTTTTTTGAGTCACTGTAAAAGCAAATCTAAAAAATATGAATGCAGTGATAAATTACGAAAATATACTGATGATATTTTCCACATTTTAGATAGGATTTATTCGGCAAAACCTTGAGATGACGTCTTCAAGTTTTTGAGCTTGATAAACAGATATATTTTGATTGAAAACCGACCATGTCAAACAGTAACTTCAAAACGTCTGCAATATTTCAAAATTCAGTTTTGCAATTCTTGATTCAATCAATAAAATAAATTGACTCAGTAATTAATTTTTTTGAGACACCCCCTATAAGCAAAACTAAAAAATATGAATGGAATGATAAATCACAAGTATAGTCTCATCCTATTTTGGACATTTTAGATAGGATTCATTTGGCAAAATTTTGGGCTGACGTCATCAATTTTTTGGAGGGGATAAGTAAATATATTTTGAATAAAAATTTATTATGCTTATCATATGTTTAAAACATCTGCAAGATTTCAAAGCATTCGATTTTGCAGATTCAAAATTAAATTGTAGGTGAAACGGAGTTCACGGGGTCAGCTAGTGTAACATAAAAAACTATGACCCAATCAAAAAAAGAACGTAAATTTTGCCACGGTATCATCATCTTTACCACGGTGTTCTGTGTATGTCTAGTGTATTGTATTACGTAGCAAGAGTTTAACTTTCTTATGTAGATATTTTGAAACATTGTTATTATTAAAAATAGTGGTGATTAGGAACACGCCATGGACCTAGTTATACAATGATCGTGCAAAAAGGTATGTAGCAGAATGTAGTAGTTTTTAAAGTGGATCAGTCAAGGTTTTGACAACCTACCCAAAAAAAACCGGCAAATTGTTAAGTACCAACGTAGCCAAAAAATATATTTGTGTAATTATTCTCATATATCATGTCCAAATATCATTACTTGTTTATTCGAAATCATCAGAATCCACCTGTTTCACTCACAAACATCAATAATGTATTTTCCATGAGAACTGTAAACATTTTTCATCATTATCAAAACATGTAATTAGGTTTAATTATTCTGTTATCTCGTTGGTTGTTTGTGCCATTTTTAGATATAGGGGAAGTTAAAAAAGGTTTTTAGAAGGTTGAAAGGTTATTCTTATTAAAGACACATTTCATAAAGAAATACTAACAAATGAATGTACATTCTGATAATTTCGGATGAACAAGTAATGATATTTAGACATGATAAAAGAAATGATGTTGATATAACGATACATATGAGAATAATTAGACAAAGATATTTTTTGGTTATGTAGATACGTAACAAAATATTAGTGCTATATAATTTTCGTCTAAAAATTTAAAATCTTTTTAAAACCAAATTCCAATTCAACTGTACACTTTCAAAAATTATCCTCGGAGTTCTGTTCATTTAATGGAATTTTTGGAACTGCTTTCCTTTTACTGGAATTCTTTGAAATCAACTAGAGTTGTTTCGAGAATCGCCGGAATTATTATTATATGTTTGCTTAAATGTTTGCGATTTACGTAGAAGTCTTCTTATTTAAAATTTATCGGAATATAAGAAATTGCCGGAACTAATCTGAATTGAAACTGTATTACTGGTGGCTGGGGAATTGCTACTTGGCTCTTAGCTCGTGGGAATTTTCATTATCGAATTCCTGTAGAACACACTTTGATGAATTACTTTTGCAAATTACCTCAATTTAGTGGAATTTTTGGAACCATTTTCTGTAAACTGGAAAAGTTAAAGGAATTCATTATGAAGAACTGGAACTAATTGGAATTGAAATTATGTTGTATGCAAATTTGGAAGCTCCTGAGGTTGTTACTACGTCATACAATAATCCGCTTTGATATATGTAATTACTTTGAATTATCGAATTATGAAATTTTTCAACTGCATTTGTGGCAATATTTTAAATGTTTTGTAAATTTGCCAGAATTGATTTAAATTGATTTTATCTTTGGAATTACGACTATATAATATGTAATTTAATGAATTATAGTGAATTATTTCGCAACTGTTGGGAAATGGAAATATATGATATCGAGTTTTCAAATGTATTCCTGTCAATTTTTTGACATTTTGTGCGTTCCTGTTATTAAGAGTAAAATTGTATTGGGTGTTTTCATGAAGTCTCTGATCTCATAAAGCTGATTTATTAATCTCCAACATGAATCCAGCTGCCTGTAAATACCATATTCATTGTTGAATCACCGATATAGTGTAATACAGCACCAGTAAAAAATATTACCGAACAAGTTTGATAAGTAATGTTTCCGGAGCGAGCGAATTCAGCGAATCCATTTTCCCATTGATCGCACAAAAATAAAAATATGCTTTTTCATATTTGGCATACTGTTTAGAAATAAATGAGGTTATCAAATAAACTGAATGGCTCCCGATGCTCACATAAATTCATAATTCTAGCAGAAATTTACGCATTCGAACGATTTATTTCTGCAATCTCCTCCTATAAATCACAGAATTTAACAGAAAATCGTTTCGTCGAAAGAAACATCGAAATAAATCATGATCTATCAGTATAATTTCAATAATAAAACAATCATGAAATCGTAAACTAACGTTTCTCAAGCTTCATTATTATATCATCAGTATTGCAATCGTAGCAATTATCGAAGAATCAGAGGAATGACAGTGAAGGGAGTGACCGTGAACGTCGAGAATAACAATAACACAACGGTAATTTATACCAAAAGGGCATCGTAAAGATCACAGGAGATTGCCGCCCCTCTGGAACTCCACCAAAACTATTACAATTATCATTTCGTTGCATTAAAAATCGAATTCCTCCGCGTCCCATCTCCATTCCGCCCACCAAAACAAGGCCAAACTATGCGGAAACCTCCTAACATTCTTTTTCAACATCGCGATATTAAAATGAATGAGACGTGGGTTTTGGATGATTCACACGATTTATTAAACCCATCAAAAGCGTGGGCGGCACCGTAACAATACCAGCCAAAGTCGATCTTTTGTCCCCCAATTGTCACCATTAACCGCGTGAAAGAATGAAAAGAAAGTTGTTTTGTCCCAACCGAGGTCATTCAAGGCTGTTTGTTTTCAGGCAAGATGGAGATTTTGACGTTCTTCTACGGGCCCATAGGTGTCCTACTTATGGTGAATTTGGCCCTTTTTGCCCTTACAGCGAGGGAACTGACTTGCGGATTATGGAAACGAGAGCTGGTCAAGTCTACGTCGGAACGGTAAGAATGCGTGGTTTTTGCGGTTGTGGAAATTGTCCTAGTTGAGAGACCGGTCGGAGGCGGCATTCTTGAGATGCATTCAAGGACGGGTGTTGACCGGGACTTAAGTGTGTGATGGATGGGGTTTGTAAATCATGCTGTGGCTAAGTAGCCGTTAAATCATTTACTTTTGCTAATTGGTAGTAAATGTCTGCTATTTGCAAAACTACCGAAATCATTTGGGGGCCCCTTAAGTTCGATAATTATTGTTATGTTGTGCTAAAACTTATCCGACACGCAAGTGCCGCCAGATTTTGGTTTCTCGTTAACAACTGAAACCATTTTCTAAGAAATAAAGCAAAAAGTGGAACGAACCCAACCCACACGCACAAACATTTAAAACGTGTGATTTATGCAACCAACAATACACTGAAATTGTATTCATTTGCAGGGCTGCTCTAGGTCGTGTCTGCATGAAGCTGGTCGTAGTAATGGGGGTTAGTTGGATAGCAGACGTCCTTTCATGGGCGGTTGGTGGTCCTCAGGAGCTCTGGTATTTGACCGACTTAATCAATTGTCTCCAAGGTCTTTTCATTTTTATAGTAGTGGGCTGCCAACCTCAGGTAATTAAACAAACTTACATTTTTTTTTCTTTACTAAAATCACATTTCTAGGTTTTATCAGCAGCGAAAAGGCTTTGGTGTTCTCGTATGCATAGAGCTAATGGGACTGCTGGTACGACCAACCATCACTCTTCCAGTTCACAAGGTTTACCATCCATGGGTGACACGGTAACTAATCACAGTGTTACCAACAACACCAAATCGGTTCCATTGGAGACTAGCTGTTAATGGGTGATATGTCTTAGCGACAATGTAAAGAAATTTATTTTTATACGTGGATTAGACTAGTCAAGTTTTGAAAATTTGGACGTAGATAGAATCATTCCGTTGTGTTCTTTTTATTTATGACTGATTTTTGTGTATTTATCTTGTGACGAACTTAGAATTAGTTCCTTATTTATGTTGTTGTTAATTTAAGCGTTGTAAATATGTCTTTCTCACTATAGGTTAAGATTGAGTTTTATGTTTTAACGACGCCCAGTATTACGGTAGTTTGTTTTTAAGGCTATCCTGTTTTTTGTGTACAAGTGTTTTAAGTTTTTGTATAAAGATGTAAAAGTAAAAAGCCGTGTTTTATTGACAATCTCAAGCTCAGTATCGTCGTTTTATTGGCTAAGACTCCAGTCAAGTGAAAAACATTTTCATAATTTAATGATTGAAGAAATATTCCATTGTTTATATTACAAGATTTAATACAATAATAATCTTTGGTATTATGTACAAAACCTATCAAACTAACAGGTGTATAATAATAATAATAATAATAACAAGGAAAATCTTCACACAGCATAGAAGGGATCATCCAAAATCGTCGATTGAAAGATTCTCATTACCAAGACAGAATGGAGGAAGGGGTTTCCAGAACCTAGAAAACTTATGTGGCGGCACAATAACACGCGGGTAAAGCAGAGTAAAGATAAGTTGTCTTGTGGTGTAGCGGTTAGCATACCAGCCCGGAATGCTTGGAGACGTGGGTTCGAATCCCACCGAGGCACAACATTTTTCTCTGCTTTCCCACATTGGTGACCACCGACAGGCAACGCGCACGCAACATCCTTCTGCCACCGCCCTGTGCCCGCTGTGTTAGGGGTCCGCAGCACCGCCAGGGTTCGAACAACGACCGTAAGAGTGGTAGGGGCGACGCCAGCATCTATCTCCTTCGCACCCCAGCACGACCGCGCGCTGTGTCGCTGGGGGGGGGGAGTACTGTAGCGGCACAATAACACATGGGTAAGCAGAGCAAAGATAAGTTGTCTTGTGGTGTAGCGGTCAGCATACCAGCCCGGAATGCTTGGAGACGTGGGTTCGAATCCCACCGAGGCACAACATTTTTCTCTGCTTACCTATATTGGTGACCTCCGACAGGCAACGCGCACGCAACATCCTTCTGCCACCGCCCTGTGCCCGCTGTGTTCGGGGTCCGCAGCACCGCCAGGGTTCGAACAACGACCGTAAGAGTGGTAGGGGCGACGCCAGCATTTATCTCCTTCGCACCCCAGCACGACCGCGCGCTGTGTCGCTGGGGGGGGGGGAGTACTGTAGCGGCACAATAACACATGGGTAAGCAGAGCAAAGATAAGTTGTCTTGTGGTGTAGCGGTTAGCATACCAGCCCGGAATGCTTGGAGACGTGGGTTCGAATCCCACCGAGGCACAACATTTTTCTCTGTTTACCTATACTTATATCAGAGACAAATCTCAAATTTGAAGAAATATTTCTTGAAACGAGCGGAAAGAAATGAAATGTTTCGCACCATCACAAGAGCAGATTTGAACCACACACCCTTAAATCTGTCGAACACCGAAGAAATCCACACCCCCCACACAATAGACAAAATAATAAGTGGGCTAAAACAAAAACAACTACCTTACATGGAAAATTCTACAAAGACTTGAAGAAACTCATGTCAATAAGATGTCATTGATTTGGTTAAAAAAATCAAGTTTGTATGCCGAAACAGAAGGATTTGTGTTTGCTATTCAAGACCAAGTAATCAATACCAAGAATTACAGAAAATACATCATCAAAGATCCGAACATAAGAAACGACTACTGTCGCCTCTGCAAAGCAAAACCTGAAACGATCCAGCACATAATCTCTTCTTGCAGCATTCTAGCACAAACTGACTACAAAGCTAGACACGACAACGTCGCCAAAATCATCCACAAAGAATTATCAACACTTATGAACTTAATCGAAGATACGACACCCTATTACACTTACATTCCATCTCCGTTCCTTGAAAATAACAACTACAAATTATACTGGGATCGCACATTACTTACAGACTTAAACATTACAGCTAACAGACCAGACATCATACTTATCAAAAAACACACGAACGAAGCCATTCTCATTGACATTGCTGTTCCTAACACAAACAACATTATTCAAACATACCACACCAAGATTTCAAAATATCTACAATTATCGATAGAAATGAAATCCATGTTGAATCTTAAACAAATTTCAATTCTACCCCTAGTTATCTCTAATATAGGTGTAGTTCCAAATAGCTTAGTTGAGAATTTAAAGTCTTTGCATTTGAATGATTCAATAATTATCAAAATTCAAAAAGCTGTTTTGTTAGGAACATGTCATATTGTTCGTAAGTTTCTTGAACAGTCTGATCATGTCAGTCAGATTAGATTAGCACCAGTAGGTCAAAGTAGTGTAGGTCACTTTCCAAGTGATGCGCGGATAAATGGTCGGTAGTTACGCTAGACTTTTGGGGATGGGGTGAGATTAGAGAATAATAGCAGACTAATTTGTATGCTGTAATTCTAGAATCTCGAAAGTTGTTCTGTTAATTTAATCAATGCATATCATTACTTGGTCTTAGTACCCGTAATGATAGAAGTCTTGCCTGAATGCCGGTCATTTCCGGGTCAGTGGTGGGTCTTAATAATAATCTTTATTTGTCCAACAGTAACCTATTATAGGACAAACATATAACAAAAATATAACATCTATTTAAACAAACAAGTCATCATATATAACATCAGCAGCTTTATTCATAATAAATATCGGTGCTCTGCGCAGTACATTTGTACGTGGAGTTGGTAAGCGGAAATTGGATGCCGATCTTGACGTAAGACGAGGAACATTGAAAGGTACCTTGCTCAAAAGAAATTCGCAGTCAATTTGATAATGCACTAGTTTAGACAAAAATAATGCAGCACGTTGAGTTCTTCTTTCTCCTAATGACGGCAAATGATGACGTTCAAGCAGTTCAACTGAACTAGTTCCTCTTTCTGGATAAGCACCATCGATTCTGTACGATAAGTACTTCAAGAAACGACGATAAATTTTGTCTAACATGAGTGCGTGAGATGCATATATGGGGCTCCATACTAGTATGCCATATTCCATTTTACTTAAAACATAGGAATAAAAGAGCTGCTCCATTAAGTTTAAGTCACTAAAGTTGCGACAAGTGCGCATGACAAAGCCCAAGGACTTAGACGCCGAAGAGCAAACACAATTAAGGTGCTCAACAAATGTCAACGTTGAATCAAAAACAACACCAAGCTCTTTCATACAATCCTTCTTATCAAGAAGATAATCGTCAATCATATACTGCGTCGGTAAAGGAGAATGAGTTCTGGTGAAAGTAACAAAAAAGCATTTTTGCTTATTAAGTTTGTATGAGTTTATGGGTCATACACCATTGTGTCAATACGTTTAAGTTACTTTGCAATAAAAGAACTTCGTTGTAAGAATTGATTGACATATATAATTTAATGTCATCAGCATAAGCTAAGACTGGACAAGATAGTGAAAGCAGCAAGTCGTTTATGAATAAAACAAATAATAATGAACCGAGATGGGATCCTTGGGGAACCTCTGATGTAGCAATAAATTCTCTAGGAGTAAAACCATTGTAATAAACATAACAAACTCTGCTACTTAAATAAGACTCAATTAAAGCTAAAGCATCGGTGTTCAAACCAAAGTTATTAAGCTTCTGTATTAGAATGTTATGTTGAATCTTATCAAAAGCTTTCGATAAGTCTGTATAAATTACATCCACTCTTCCACGGTTATCAACCTCCTCGGCTAGATATTGTGCAATGGTTGAAAGATTGGTGTCAGTGGATCTTCCAGAGACAAAGCCATGTTGGTAAGGCGAAATGTAACTCTTCACTTTATTGTAAATCACCTGATTAAGAACCTTTTCGAAAACTTTTCCAAAATTGGACAAAATACATACCTACTGGTCTATAATTTGGAATGCATGATTTATCACCATTTTTGAACACAGGAGAAATACGGGGACGTTTCCAGAGACTCGGAAAGGTACAAGCTTTTATAGCAAGATTAAATAAAATAGATAGCGGTTTAGCAAAAATCAACCTGCAATCACGTATAAGGAACGAAGGTATTAAGTCATCACCTGAAGTACACTTATTTGAGAACCGTGCCATTACAGATGTAAGATCATCTTCACAGATCAAAGGAAAACCGAAGGGAACAGTAGCATTTACAAAATCAGTTATTAGAATAGGATCATTTAATGAGAACGAACTTGAAAAAAAGTCAGCAAAAGCGTTGACGATGGAATAAGGCTCCGAGTACTCAAATTTCTGATCATGTAGAGTATTTGGAATTCTTGAATGTCCTCGTCTGTTGTTTAAAAATTTCCATATCTCAGCAGGATTAGATTTAATGTTAGTCTCCATGTTGACTAAGTAAGATCTGTAGGAATCAGAAATCAGAGTCTTAGTCAAGCTACGTAAACGACTAAATTCATTGTAAAATTTATAATTCTTGGTTTTCAGCCACTTTTTCCTATAGTATTCTTTCATTTTCAGGGAAGATTTAATTTCAGCTGAGAACCATACTGGATACCTTGATTTTGATTTAGATGTTTTAGGAACAAAATTATCTAATATTTGATATAATAATGCATAGAAGGAGTCCACAGCGTCATCAATGTTTACAAACTGTGCCAAATAGGACCAGTCAGTATTGCAAAGAGTGTTATATAATGACACAAAGTCAGCTTTCCTGAAGTTATAACATTTCTGGTTATTTGAAGGAAAAGAATGAAATTTAGGGGTACTACAAATATTTACATTGACATTCAGAGCTGGATGATATTTATCCTCAGCAACAAGTGGAAAACTAGAATGTGAAACACAAAGCTCAAAGTTAGTGTTAGAGAGAACCAAGTCCAGTAATTTATTATCACAATTCTGTATATGGTTGTATTGGGTACAGTTAAGAATATTTATAAAATGTTGCATACAACTTGCTTTACTTGTTGAGGCAGTACTGACGTTCGAAATGTCAGGAACATTAAAGTCACCAATTATAATAAAATTTTGATACAGGAGAAACTGTTCAAGGGCAGAGATAAATGTTTCCAAATCATCAAGAGAAATATCCGGAGGAATATACAGCACACCAAATATCAAGTTTAAAGAACCAATAAAACATTTGCATAAAAAAATATCAACAAGAGGCACAATATTATCAAGTACAGAAGTATCCAAACAACAGATTTTTTATTTCTCTTTAAATGCACCCAACACACCTCCACCTCTCGACTTATTTACACGAAGGAACTTACGATCACAACGGAAAATATT